TATATATTTACATATATATATATAAATATGTCCGTCCTTGGATTTATAGTAAAAATCAAGTACATGCAAAAGCAGAGAAAATTAGAACTAGACTTAGTTGATTTAGTATAATTGAATCAACATTATTAGGCGGTCTATAATATTTGTAATAATAATAAGGAAAAGAACTCGCATAAATTAAGTAATATCGTACATAAACCATGTAAAACCGCATGGATGTTTGTAGTACGGTCAACTCCCTCTAAAGCTGGAAATACATTGAGAAACTTTACTATTCGTTCGCATTCGTTTGCGTTGCTATAATCACTGGTCGTTCGTATTATTATTAATTACCCTCCCTTATTTTCATTTGGTGTGTGAGTATTAGTAACCATGTTTTTACTTTGTTGTTTAAAATGATGTGTTGTAGTAATTACAAACACAAAGGGCAGATAAACGTTTAAAAAAACAGATTTTAGTCCAGTCAACCAAAGATTTAGGGTCCGAATTCGCTCAAGAAACTCCGATTAATCTGAAACTTTGATAGTAAGTAGAGAATAGCCCCAGGAATCGATAGAATGATGAATTTGAAGTAAAAAATATTCTATGAAGTTTTTTCGATAGATCAATATTTTTTTAGTTATTCGCGATTGAAGAAGTTAAATTTTTCGAGCATTTTTTTTAAAATAATTCAAAAACTTCACATTTTATGAAAAAGATTACTAGAATAAAAAATAAATATTTTAAGAAAACAAATCGATTCGCTTTTGAAAAATATTTCTAAGTAAAATACGAGCCAAGATATGGTTTGTTGAAAGTAATGAACAAACTATGGTTTATGGCCTTTGAGCATAATAAGAATCCATCAGATTACATCATTCTAAACTTAAGTTTACGATTTTTACATTTTTTAGAAGAGGTAATTTTTACCGCTCCTCCCCAACCTTGACAAAATAAATAGGGTATTTCTGCTTTTTTTGGTCATTAGGGGTGGTTTGTGAGGGTGTGAACCTTGCAATCGATTTTAACATAACTAAACAACAATGTTTATGCTACAATTTTTAATAAGATTTCAATCAATTTCATATTTAAATCTATAGTTTTACTATATTTCTCAAGAGGGGTAATTTTCACCCCCCAAAAAATTAAAAGTGCACATCAGGCTCATATAACATTTGATGAAGGAGGGTATGATAAGCTTATAAACCAATTTTCAGTCAAATCAGCGTTTCTTGAACAGAACACAACAAATAGTGAGAAAATTCTTGTTATGTGTTATGAGTTTTGAAAAATAATCAATTTTGTGTTCTTTTTTCCGTTTCGTCGCTGTATGATTCTATTAGTAAAGATCAATCTGTCTCGTCAAATTGTAGCAGTTACAGCATTCGCAGGCATTCGGAACTTGCATTTGCTTTTGATCTTTTTGAGTTTACCGACAGAGGAAAGAAAACGTGCTTTCGCATTGCTGGCCATTCGAATCAAAATTTATTTGTTGCAAATCACCACAAATGATCATTTACACTTTACGAACGAATGCGAACGAGTGACAATGTTTTTCAGATGTATTCCCGGCTTAAGACGAATGACATTTACTATTTTCAACTGTTCAACTTAAAAGAAGTTAAAAACGGAATTTGAAACATTTCTTTTAAATAAAAAAAAGCATGACGTAATTTTTGTTTGTGTTGTTCTGTTGTCTAGACAATGATTCCTGTGATTATGTAAATTCTTCAAATGGTTTTTTTGAAAAATTATCAAATCAGCTCAATTATTCCGTTTTAGGGATTTTTTACATGAAATATGACCTTAAAACACGTAAAATAGGTTTGAGTTACGGAGAGGGTAACTTAAAAAATCGAGAAAAATATCGCATAAACGTAGTAAACATAAACACAAGGTAAGTGCTTTATATCATGCCAATTAGGGTTTATACAAAAACCGACATTTTAGAAAACCGGTTTTCGAATAGTAATTTTTCCAGAAAACGGGTTTTAACCGGTTTCGAATTTTTATAAAAAAATTTTTTGCTCGAATATTCTGTAATTCGAACAAAAAATTTTAACAGAAAATTTAGAGTGATTAAAAGCAGTTTTTGACTGAAATTATTTACTGTTCAATTTTATTGATAGTAAAATTTTTTTATGCAATTTAGTAGAACAAAGAAATAATAGTTGACCAGGATTAAATAACTTTAAAAACAATAATTCGTTGTTTATGCATAATTTTCACATATAAGGATGTAAATATTTTTATAATAGTGAAACGAGTTATTCAGCAAAGGGTTCGAATAAATAAAAACAATATATTTTCATATTTTTATAATAACCATATTATTTTTTTTTAAAAACAATGTTATTAGATACAGATGGATACTTATTAAAAACAATTAGAAAATATATAACTGTGTATTATATAATGTAAATTATAAAAAAAAATTTTTTAAGTGTTATTCATACATTGTCGGTTTTCGAATTTCATAATTTTCTCCAAAAAAACGGTTTCTAAAACCGGTTTTTAAAAACCGACAAACCCTAATGCCAATGTACGTACGCTGTAGTTAGCTAGGACCCTCTCAGGGTCCCTACTTCGTCGCGGTAGAAAAGATCCGGATATTTTTTAATAATAGTTAATTTCAAAACTGACAAACTTAGATACTGGCTAGTTGCATTGGGTACCTTGAATTTCGGTTCTCATTATTTGGATTAACGTGCTTATAATAAAAATTCCATTTGTATTGATTAGGTGAATAGAATTCTTTCCTCATAATTTAAATGAATATTCAATAAACATTTATTTACTACAAACCAGTAAACAACAACAAAAATGAATATAAAAGCAGGTAGTTTTCATTTTTGTAAATAATGCATAGCGGTTTTTATGTTCACAGCCAGCTATAGTATACAAGGCCAGTCGGAAAAATACACAATGCGATTGGAAACTCTACTTCTTTATTGTATAATTTTTGTGATTGAAGGTTCATTACAATTAATTTGTGGAGGGTATTGTAATTCCAAAAGCAGCCCTATATGTTCTCATGCAGGTTAAGAAATAATGATGAAGGTATTAATTCAGTGATGATATAATTATCTGATTTTTCTTGTAAAAAAAATGTATTATGGGAACTACAACAAACAATGATTCCTTCCACCCGATATAGGAAAAGAGCAACCATTGATTATTGTACAAAGCAATTCGAAGTGGTCTGTATTCTGTCGAAACTGCCAGACGCGGATCGCGATTTCGATCTTTTTGGATCTCATCAGCGCATCGCAGGCTGCTTCGACAGAACACAGACCAACCTTTACCTGCTGTCTTAACAGCGCGTTTTAGAAAATACCACAAATGGCGTGGTGAGCGCCATCTGTAGTACGATGCTACATTTGAGCATACGTATTCCTCAAATGTAGCATCGTACTACAGATGGCGCTCACCACGCCATTTGTGGTATTGATAATTGCTCATAATTCCTGTTAATGGTGAATGTAGGTTACAATCTACAATATTAAAACTGCCTAATGTGGGCTCCAATTAATTTGTCTCAGTTTCCAGCAACACCCCAAATGTTATAGCTTTCTTTTGCCACATTATAGCGCGAATATACTACTTATGCATCTAAAGTAAGTAGAAAAAGTAAGTAGTAAAATTGATCAAAATTCAATATCGACACATCCGCTTTCTTTCCAGGTTACAGTTCAGTAGCTCGAGTAGAGTAGAAAACTTTGCTTGAAGATATTTATTTGATAAAGTTTTATTTAGTTGTTGATATTACTATGTAATGTTCGGCAGGACTACCTTAACGTCGGAGAGAGAATCCGGTTCCATAGACAACAACAACAATTTTAACTAAACTGCATTTCAAATGTTCGTTGGATATAACTAATGTTTGCCATAAACAGTTAACCGATATTTTTCATAACAATGTACTACAGACAGATTAGACAGCTTTTAAGCATTTTTATTGCAATAAATATCATAATTTAAGATGTTATTGAAATTTTATTCTTATTAAAAAAACGTAGATTGTGCATTTATTTTATGACAAAACTACAACAACGAGAGTAAATATAAAATAGGTAGACTTATTCTTGTTTTTTTATATGCAATTTCATTGAAGTATCTACTGAAGTTGAAGTACGAGGGCGGTTCAATAAGTACCCGTGTTAGAAATGAAGACACCTTTTTTTTATAGTTTTTTTTTTAATTTTTCAACATAGTCCCCTTTTAGAAAGATACACTTCTCCCAACGACCCTGCCATTTTTTTTACCCGTCCAAAAAATATGATTTGTCGAACTCCAAAATCCCCCCTGTCTCGGCGATGACTTCCTCGTTTGAGCTAAATTCCTTTCTCGCTAGTCATTTCTTCATGGTAGGGAACAAGATGAAGTCACAGGGAGCCAAATCGGGGTGTGCGGCAGCAAATTCATAACGTAATTAAAAACGGATCTTTGCCCACGTTTAAATTCGTTGAAGCAATATCTAAGTGTGGTCGTAGATGGCGAAATGTCTCCATAAACAGTATCCAACTTTGTTTTCATCTCCTCGCATTTCTTCCCAAACAAAAACAAAAAGCGAGTTACCGAACGATACTGCTCTTTTTCCATCTTAGCGAAAATAACGAAACACGTCTCAGTCGAATGGCTGCCAAGTGGTTTGATAGATGGCAGCACACGATGACAACATCAATTTCCCTCAGGAACGTCCTCTGTCTTCAAGCACGGGTACTTATTGAACCGCCCTCGTATATTA